TGCTAAGAGATGACCATCTCCATTACCACTTGGGGAAAGCTTCCTAAAAATGGAGCCCAAAACAAGAAAGCAGACATGAGTTTCTTCCTGTCATTTGATCACCTGGATCCAGCTGTGACTGGGGCCAAACCCCTGGAGCTTTTCCATTACATATGCCAAGAAATTCCTTTTTGTTTGTTTGTTTAGGCCAGTTTAAGCTGGACTTCTGCCATTTCCAACCAAAAATATCCCAATGCAACCTATTTGTGCCAAATAGCTAAGATAATTCACTGAAATAAAATGGTTGATTTTTCCAGGTTTGTGAAAGCAGCCAAATGTCGTCACATTGAATTCATGTCTATTTTGTTTTGCATGTTACTGCACTGTGATTTAATTTTGAAGAGACAGAGGAAGAGAGAATAAGAAAGACTCACTTGCTGATATGCATGAGTCTGTGTTGCAGTGATTCAATTTCTATACAAGCATACCTCAGAGATAATGCAGGCTAGGTTCCAGACCACAGCCATAAAAGGAATATCACAATAAAGCGAGTCACATGAATTTTTTGGTTTCTCGGTGCATATAAAAATTATGTTTTTATAACTACACTATACTATAGTTTATTAAGTGTACAATAACATTATGTCTACAAAAACAATGTATATACCTTAATTAAAAAATACATTATTGCTAAAAAATGCAAACAATCATCTGAACTTTCAGCGAGTCATAATCACTGATCACAGATCACCATAACAAACCTAACAATGAAAAAGTCTGAAATATTGTGAAAATTACCCAAACATGACAGACAGGAAGTGAGCAAAAGCTGTTGGAAAAATGGCTCCAATAGACTTGCCTGATGCAGGGCGGACAGAGAACTTCAATCTGTAAAAAATGCATTATCCACAGAGCACAATAAAATGGGGTGCAATAAAACGGGGGGTGTGCCTGTGAATCTTCACCCCTACTTCCCTCCTCATCTCAAGTTTCTAAGGTTAACCTCATAAGTTGTTGAGCCTTCCCACCTGTTCTGGGATTCACTTCCATCACAGATCCCCCTCCTCACAGATGACCCCCTCCCCAAGCCACCCCCAGCACGTCTCACTCCACTGATTCCTACCCTGGAGTCCACGGGTGTGTGTGTAAGACTGATGAATCAGAGACCTCTACCCCTGAAACAAATAATACATCATATGTTAATAAAAAATAATAAATAAATAAATAAACAAACAGAAAAAGCGAAACAAACTTCCATACACAAGATCATCCATGCACCCAACGGGGCAGAAACAGAAGAAATGAAGAAACGGAAGAAAAGCGTGTAAAATGTTAATGGTGGCTGTCTCTGGTGGTAGATAAGAGCCGATGTTTTCTTTCTTCAAAAAAATATTTTTCAAATTTTCTAGGTATTCCTTTTCTAACAGAAATATATTTTTTAAAATGCTTCCTCTTTTTTTTTTTAACTTTTTAAAAAGTTTTTACGTAAATTCCAGTTAGTTAACATACAGCGTAATATGAGTTTCAGGTGCACAATACAGTGATTCAGCACTTCCGTCCATCACCATCTTTAACCTGCTAACATCCTTCCCGCCCTTACTGGCAAACACTGTAAGAAGAGAGGCCATGTACCACCTCCCCGCTCCTCGCCCACTTCCACTTTCACTCAATTACTACTCACACCCCTCGATGGAAACTATAGTCCCCCAGGTGCCCAGTGGTTTTTCTTCCCCCATTAGCCCGGCCGACCTCTTTGGATTATCAGCCATCCCTTCCCTGGGCTCAGATTTGAAATCGCAGCGTGATCCTCAGATTTTCCTCTCCTTTCCTTCCCCGTTCTGTCATTCAACAAATCTTTATCATATTCCAAGCATACTTTGAACACATCGGCTCTTCTCTCTCCCATTGCTACTGTTGGAAGTCTGCCCCCTGGTGGCCTCACGGCCTTCCCTCCCTGGGCCTCCACCCTTCCCCCACCTCACATACTGCACTGCTTTGGGACTTAGCACCCTAAAGCGCAAATATAATCATTGCCTCCCCCGCACCTTAAAATTCCTAATGGTTCTTGAATGCATACAATATCGAGTGGAATTACTGGTCTGGCACCAAAGGCCCTTCACAAGCCAGTTCCAGCCCCTTGGCCTCATCCTTCATCTCTGCAGAGCACCTGCCACGGGCTCCAGAACAAATTGACAGGCTCCTTGCAGGAGAGTTGAGGTTCTCTTACACCCATGAGCCTCTTGTGATGCTCTTTCCTCTGCTCTGGGCTGCCATTCTTCCCTTCTCTGCACGAACTCTTATTCATCCCTCAAGACCCAAACCGGCATTAAGTTCTGACCGCGTCAATAATTGGCACTTGTCACACTGTATTTTGGTCTCCAGTAGACACTAACCTACTTAAGGGCAGAAGTGTCATTTTATCTGTTATTGTATCCCGGCTTCCTGCCTGTAGAAAATCGGCAAATAAACAGGAAAGAGGAGACAGTAAAAATCACAAACCTTCCCTAGAGAATGGATTTTTTGTTATAATAAGAGAGTAACTATAGTATTTCTCTCTCCTAAAAATAACCATAATTCCCGCTCCCCACAAAAGACTTACATTGCCTATATAATGTGGTGGCTGCCCTACTTAAAATTCTGTACTTCTTAGCACCCATTATGTGATTTTGGCCACTTCTTTTGGTTTGGGATCAGTCTCTCTAGATTAGAAAAGAAATTTTTAGATCTTCATAATAAAAAGTTTAAATTGTCTTAATTTCTTAGCTCCTTGTTCACTCATAATCAAGACTTATAAGTCTATACCTTCTACTTAAAAAAGGAACATGTTTGAATGTACTTCTGTGCAAGGAAAAATCATACTCTAATATTCTTTTAACTTTTCTAGTTTACTACATTTATTTCTAAAAGGGTCAATTATTAAGTAAAATTCTATCTTCCTAGGACATACAATGAGGTATATATAGTCACAGAAAATTTAAATCCAGAGAATTCAGGATTTCAAAAAGTAATTAAGTGGCATCTCCCATCGTGGCATAGTTAATTTTGTTGACAATGGCATCACTCAATTTTATTAGAAATGTCCATGCCTCTAAAAGAAAGAAGTCAAGACATCAATCTCTCCTTGAATAGAAATGATGGGATTCCTCAGCAACTGTTCATTAAACACCACGTTCAAAACACGATACTATCACTATGGGAGACATTCAGATGAGTAAGACATTTCACTTCCCTCACTGCCCAAGAAGGACAAGAAGATAAATAACTACAATATAAGCCCCATATGATGTGTCATAAGGAAGGTCCAAAATGCTCTAAAAGTTCAGAAGAAAAAGACATTCTATCCAATTGAGAGATCCAAGAAGTTCTTCTTGCAAAGAACAAGACAGAAGCCCTGGAGAATAGCTAAGATGTTTTTACAAACAGAATTGAGAAAAAGGCCATTCCAGGCAGAGGGAATAGCAAGAACTGAGGCAGAACACGGGAGGTCACTTGGGCCCTGCGAGAGGTCTCAGTGCAGCATGTCAGCTCACTTCTCATTCTTGGCCTTGCTCACTCCCACTGCAGTGCTTCCTTCCACCTCATGCAGAGTCCGTCAGAGAAAAGCTAAAAACATAAATGGCCTTCCTGTTCCCAAAGGATTCTGGGCTCAGTCCAGCGGTCAATGGAGAATAATCACAAGTTTTTGAGCAGAGGTCCTACAAGGGCAGGGGAGTGCTTGAGGAAATGAACCTGGCAATAATGTATAGAAATGGAAAGGAGAGACCCAGATACTGCAATGAAAGAAACAGGGTAAGGATGCTGAACTGGTTGTTGCTACATGTTTTGGTAATAAACTCAAACAGTGCAACCAGGAGTTTGAAACAATGCATCTTGCTTCTTTGGTACCTAAAGTCCCATAGAAAATACATATTTAACTCCTGAAAAACCTTACAATCCCATTCTCATCTTCTCTGAATTCCTCTTTATAATAATAATAATAATAAATCTGACTCTATTTTTGATGTTTCACCACTGACAGCTTTCAAGTCCAACCACTACCCCTTCTGCCTCACATCAGTGCAAGCTGATTAGAAAGCCGGGGAATGCCTTCCTCTGTGCTGGTGGGGAGGATAAAACCATGCAAACCTCTCCCATGCACAGAAGCCCTAGACCGGCCCCACTCCCAACGGCACAAAGCCACTCTCCCCTCCCCTTCCTTCACTCAAGATGAATGGGCCAGTTGGGTGCCTACCCTGCTCCCCGAGAAAGCCTCATTTTATGTGAATAAGAAATCTTCGTGCCCTCCTTGGTGTGTGTGTGTGTGTGTGACCATCAGTCTTAACATCCAAACCGACTGTGGGTGGGTGGGGCAGGCTCCATCCACTCTCCACGGAGTAACCACAAACACTCTTAAATAGTGAACTACTGCAATGTCCTTACTGTTCTAGATGAGGTGTGGAAAGATGCAGAGAAGGGGCATGATGGAAATACTAGAAGGGCTCCTGAGCTCCAGAAACATCTCCTTGGGAGATACCTGCCCCTTGATTAAACGTCCTGTGGTTTGACTAGGTTGAATGGTCATATACATTCACTCAAATATCTAATCATCAACTTTAAAACAATTCAATGTGTGTTTGGTACATGCTTGCCCCAGCCTCTCCCCACTGACTCACTCTAACATATAGTCACAGGAGCTATGTGCTTAATTAATTCTCCCATACCTACTTGCTTTCAATTAGAAAAAAAATCTCAGCATAAGTTGGGAAGGAAGCACAATTAAACATTTCCCTCTCTTAAAGTTCTGAGTTACAGTGCTAGGGCAACTGAAAGGCAGAATAAATAATAACAGAATAAGTAATAACACAATGATATTCTTCAAATAGCAGTTTAGTTATAACTAGATGCTAATCTTGATTTTTGCATAATATAGCATGTATTCCCATATCTTTTCAGGCATACCTACATCTATCGAAAGGTCACGATCATGAAAAACAGCGTCTTCCTCAAAAAGAGTTTAGAAAATCATAATATTAACTACTTACACATCTTTAGCTGCTCCTGCAGGGCCTAGGGGGGAGAAAAGGTTTTGCATTATTGTGATGGAATTAAGACAAAAATGTGAAGCCCAATACCCATCTAAAATAAAGTTCTAGAAAAGACAAGTTGAAAATATGCCTTTTAAAAAGATCATTTCAAAAGAAAGAAAGAAAAAAGAGTAGGAAAACCATTACATTCAAATCTTATGTTTTGAATTTATTCTGCCATTTTTAACAATTCCTATAAATTATAAGGTGCCGGATCTGGAAGGGATTTTACAGCTCACCTAGTCCAATCCCTTCATTTTACAGATAAACTGACAGAGCCGGGAAGTACTTTCACTTCGAAGTCACACACCTTCCAACCCGGTGTCCACATGGCTTTGTTCTAAGTCACACAATACACTAGTCACAAAGCAAAGTGAAGTTACAAGACAGAGGCAGGCGATAGCCTCAATTAGGAGTCTCAAGGATACCAGCCTAGCTCCAAGGGGAGTTACACGCGTTTCTAACTCTGCTCCTATTTGCTACTGAGCCCCTCCCCTTGTCTCTGCTTCCCACCCACACGCCAAAAACAGCCCGTCTCTTTCGGACCCCGTTCCTATCACTCATCACAGATTCTCTGCCGCACACGTTCGATCCCATTTCCACACTTCTGCCTCCCACTATCCTCATCCAAGCGACACAGACCTTGGTTCCATCTTTAGTAGGTACATAGCATTAATTGTCTTTTAACCTCTTAAAACCTCATTTCCCTCCCTGGTGTCAAATGAGGATAATAAGAGTATCTTTCTCAAAAGGCAATGTGCAACGAAAAGAATTAATTGAAATGACCGCTGCTAAGAGAGTTAGTGAAAATGGAGCTGGGAGGACACTGATGGGGCAGGGCTCATGCACATCTTCTGTCCCAAATTCTCAGAATTTCTTTTGCTGAACCCAGCTAAAAGCCAAGTCATCTATTTATGTCATAACAGACATAAACAGACTTTCTCTCTAACATGAGTGCTAGCAACCAATCACACGCAGCTTAATGTAACTGTACTTAAACCAGGACCAAACACCTTTTCTTCAAAACAATTTATGTAAGCCTTCTCTTTCTTCTTTAAAAACTCTAACCTCCTTTGTCTCCCCAGAGCATGTTTTCAACTTCGGTCGAATCCCCTGTCTCCTGGATTGCAATCCCTAAGACCGCAAATAAACACACATATGTAATTTTGCAGCTTGCAGTTTTGTCTTTTGTTATTTGACATTACTGGGAAGATTTGTTTTTTTAAAGATGCATGTCAACACTCAGCACAAAGTCCGGTACACAAAAATAGCTCACTAAGTTATTATTAGCAGTCAATTTAATTAGAAATGAATATCTCAATTTCCGTATCTATGAAATGGGAATTAAAATAACCTCTGCCCAAGTCACAGAGATGTGAAAATAAAGGAAGATGTGCTACACAGTAAGCAAATAAGCCTGCAGGAAAGGTTACCGCCAAAACTGCAAGAACTGTACTCTGGTGATATTAATTTAAGATCTGTTCATCTGCAAATTCAAAGCAGAGGATAAAGAGAATCAAGGCTATGCCTCAAACAAATTCTTGTAAGGCTCTGGCCAAACCTTAACTTTGTAACAAACCTCATTCCTTTCTTTAGGGAAGATTAACATTCCTATGTCACAACTATTATTAAAATTGTATAAATAAAAAACTGCTTTGGGGCGCCTAGGTGGCACAACCAGTTGAGTGTCCGACTCTTGGTTTCAGCTCAGGTAGTGATCTTGGGGTCCTGGGATCCAGCCCCACATCAGGCTCTGTGCTCAGCATAGAGTCTGCTTGAGATTCTCTCCCTCTCCCTCTGCCTCTCCTGCTCATGCTCTCTCTCTCTCTCTCTCTCTCTCTCTAAAATAAATAAATAAATGCTTTGGAATCTGAGATCATAAAACAAAACAAAACAAAAATCCTAAAATTGAAAAGAAAAACCTTAACATAAGAACAAAGGAGCACTTTGATAGGAAAAGGTAAGCAAAGGATTAGTGACACAAAAAACCCGTGCAGATGCATATTTTATTTCAGAGTCAAAACAAGCATGAGAATCTGCAAGAAAGTCTAGAAAGAAAGTAATATCCTGATTTTTGTATTTTCATGTTCATGGGGAAAATACGGAGAACGTTTCGGGCTTTTGTCGTGGACAGGGGATGGGAGAGCCAGAGGGATCAGAAACTCTGATTCTGTAAAGTCTTACAGAGAGAAGAAAGCAGAGATCGTAATGAGGACAGTGAGTCCTCAGCAGAGAGATGAAGGGCCATCGAATACAATCCACAGAGAGAGCGGAGGGGACAGAAGCCATCCCGCTCCATCTCAGGGGGGGCCCAGGGTGGCAGGGAAAGAACAGCAAGGAACAGGAAGGCGAAGACCCACACAGAGTCCTTGCTCAGATCATTCATCCAAAGGTCATGAAATCACTGCTTCGGTTTCTAATACCGGGCAGGTAAAGGCAGCTGAGAAGACAAAACACAAAAACGTGTGTGGAACTAGTTTCAAAACAGCAACATGCTGTCTAATGAATACTGATTTTAATCAGCCACCAGGAACCCTCCATCCACTTCACCTGATTGCTCCAGGCTCCAGGCACCCTGAAAGCTGCTTCCCTGCTGGGATCACCACCTAGCATCCCAGTAGGCCGCGGGCAGATGCCTGGTGTTACCTTCCAAAAGGAAATCAGCACACCATTTCTTCTGTTCTCAAATGTCCCTCCTTTAAAGGGTACCGTCTATTTAATATGCACAATGGGGGTGGGCAAAGACGTCAGAAACTACATCCAGTATACCGTGACTGTAATATGGACTCCGTTTTTGTTTTGTTTATTTTTAAAGGGAAGAAAATGTGCATCTTAGAAGCAAGGGAGCATGATATTAATGATAAGCTTATAACCAGGACGGTGGAACATGACTCCCGAACATTAAACTTCTCAGAGTGGGGGAAAAAAAAAACAAAAAAAACGTGTAATTGTTAGAAACCCTTGGCAAAACTATCAGAATACGTAGGTATATAAAAGGCAGAATATCTCTTTGTTCTGCAAAAGTATAAAATCATAAAATTAATAAACAGAAGAAAAATCATTATTACCCTCTCTACAACCTTGTAATCACACTTCACCTATATATTGATCGTAATTAACCAGATGGAGATCTCTACTCTAGAGAATTTATGCAAAAAAAACCACTTTATCTAGAACAATTCAGATAGTGGCAAAATCCCATTTGCTTTAAGTTGTGTTTATGGTTGTGTGACCTACCCTTTGCTAAACAAATATTTATAATGGTATCTAATTCTTTCCAGGCCCCTGGGATAGAGCATTGATTCCTGTTAGCACCACTCCATTTCCTGCCAGAATGACTCTTTACTGTTTAAACATAGCCTTGATGTATTAATATAATGGCTTAGAAGCAGCAGAGATGGGGGAAAGGTAACAACACTTCTTGTAGAATGAAAGCACCACAAAGTACATAAGACTAAAGATTTGATGATTATTTTCCAAAACTGTATAAAGAATGATAATTTTAAGTATCTTCCTAAAAAAAGGGGGGGGAAGGTTTGCTCTCAGAAAAGTATTATATGCAGTTTCAGTGACAAAAAAAAGTAATTATAAATGGTTTGAGGTCTGTAAGGAAGAACATTTCCTTCTGAGAAGTAGGAAACAGTTAAACATTGTCGGTTACTCAAAACATCACTTCACCGAGACCGTGTATCTTTTATCTTTACGCACTTCAAAAGATTTTAATATTTTGTTCAAGTCTCAAAGTCAAAATACATAGCAAACCCAATTTATCCAAACATTCAGAAAACTTAATCTGATATTGTGGGGTTATAGAAAGATATTTGGGTTTTGTCCCCTCTTTCTGGCACAAACCTCCTAAAACCTTTGGAATTTCCTGAGTGATAAGGGTAATAGGAGCCTCTTCCATTCTAATGAAGGGACTCTGAACAGGACCCAGGATAGCTTCAGGATGGGGACTGGTCACCAGAAAAACCAGGCCTGGTTAGAAGCTTGGAACTGTTGGCCCCATCCCTGTCCCCAGGGAAGGGAGAGGAACTGGAGATTGACTTAATCACCAAGAGCCAATGATTCCATCAATCACATCTATGGAATGAAACTTCCATAAAAACCCCTAAACAATGAGGCTCTGAGAGCTTCTGAGTTGGTGACCACATCCATGTGGCAGGAGGGTGGCATACCCCAACTACATGGGGACAGAGATTCCTATGCTCAGGACCCTTCCAGACATCACTCTATGTCCATTTGGCTGTTCATTTGTGTCCTTTAATAAATAAACTGGTAAATTTAAATCCGTAAGTAAAGCGCCTTCCTGAATTCTGAGCCATTCTAGAAAATTATCAAATCTGAGAAAGGGAGCTGTGGGAATCCAAATTTGTTGCCAAGTTGGACAGAAGTGGGAGTAATCTGGGGACCCAACACTTGCGACAGGTGTCAGAAGTGAGGACATCTTGTGCAATCTTGCCCTTAAACCTGTGGCAACTGACAGATTCCAGGTAGTTCGTGTCAGAAGTGAAGTGCATTGCACGACTCCCAGGGGGTGTCAGAGAATTGGAAAGTTGGATTGTATCAGGAGGGGGGGGGAAAACCTCTCAGATAGTCTCCACGTTTTCTAACATGGTTTATAAAAATGCGGTGTCCTAAGAAGTAACTGAGGCTCTAAACAACCTCGAAGCGCTCTCTGAATCACACACCAAGATTGAATTGTATAGCACTTGCTTCAGCAAATAATGATTTGCACTTCAGGTATAGTTTGTAAGCTGTATTTCCTAAGTTTCTAATTGCCCCCCACTCCCCAGTAACTCTAGGAAAACCTTCTGTATTAGTTTCCTATGGGCTGCTCTAACAATTTCCCGAAGACCAGGCAGCTTAAAACAACAGAAATCAATGCTCTTGTCGTCCTGGAGGCCAGAGGCCTGAAATCACGGTGTCAGCAGATCCAAACTGCCATGCCCCTCTTAGCGTCTGGTGGCGACGAGCGTTTGT